CTACACTATTTCCGGTTTGTTAAATTAAAGAGCACTTCATTTCACTTTGTCCGACTAGAAACACGGACATAATAATCTTAAAGGTTCCGCTCAACCTAAACAACGTGACCGCTCGAACAGCAAATACATTCTTCTTATTTCATTCTTAATAATAATAATAATCATAATCATTCTTAATACAAACATTTCTAAAAAATGTTTTCACCTCGTCAGTATGTGTTAGAGTGTAGACCGAAGACGAAATGGCAGTAGTATCCATTTAAAATTTTAACCTACAACACAACAAACTGTGTAAAAGTGAGGGGGTTTGATTATTTAACTGTTAAAACAAAGCTTTAAGAAGAGGTGCTGTTATTTAAATATAAGCTACATGATCCATTCATTCACATTAAATGAGGTTACATACTTCTGTCCATCATGTTTCTAGCCACTCTTGTTGACATTGACTCTTTGGAGTCTTGGCAGCAGTCTCCCCTGCCTCCATTGTCAGGGACTCATTACATATCCAGGCAAGTCACCTGTGAATGACTAGGAGGGTCTGATGTAGACAGAGATGTCCAGAGTTGATTACTGGGCCACACAGGAAACAGGAAACCAAGAAACGCCATTATCAGATATCAGTGGCATTCACACCCAGATGTAACATGAAATACTTTTTTTCAGTGCTTATTTTTGTACTTCCTATATTACACATCCACAACTGAAAGACCATACACTCCAACCTGGCATGTGTTTATTTTTATTATAAAACAAACATCAAAATAAACACAGAAATTCATACAATAAAATACATCAAGGGAAAAGTTTTTTTGTGAAAAGTAAAACAATTCTAATGATAGTAAAAACTCGGCTGCCGGTGGCTTGAGGATTCTAACTTAGACCTTGGGTTGACCTGGAAGACAGAACTCTGGAAACTTCTAATAGCATATGTGTTTGCTTGCACTTTAGAACCAAGAAAGTAAAAGTGACCCTAAAATAACAAGCCAATGGTTTAAATATTGGCTTCTTCAGTAGAAATACAAATCCTCCTATTTCTGTTCTGAGCCTCAGCTTTTATTGATATAAAACAACAGTCATGACATCACTGTAAAACTGCTCCCTTCCCTCCTAAAAACCATTTATATGAATATTACACAACAATTAAATAAGATAATCAGAGCGCAGGACTGAGAAGCGTCATGCCATGTGTAAGTCAACAATTACAAATTAAAAGCAGGTTGGACAAAGATAAAACCCTTCAGTCCAAACATGATGAAACATGAAAACATTGTTTTTACATAACATCAAGGCCATTTTGATAGAGAGCGTCAACATACGCTACGTGGAAACGCTCCTCACATCTATCACTGTGTTCACAGCCCAAAGTGATCCACCACCCAGAATCCTTCACTCACTGCCCGTAGGCTTGAAGAGGACATTTACAGTTGGACATCAGAGCAGAGAGGTGGATTAATCGACCTGAACATGTATCTGCGACGATGTGACCAATGAAAAATAGTCATCCACTAAACAGGCTGCTGTTCTGCATCACTGAGCTGGAGTCAGTTTCCTTGTGTTTTAATAATACTTGGCAATGAAGTTTGATTTTCCAAAATCTACCATTTAAGGCTATATTAATCAATTTTTGGTGGAATATCACTTTAAGGGCGCAACAGGTGACCTTGCTCTCCTGATCAAACTGACAGGAGGCAACTTCATCAATGGTTTCTTCAGTGTGTGTCTCCTTTCAATTTGTAGGCGACGACTTCCTGTGTCATCTGCTTCTGTTTATCTGCCTATGTACAACTTATATACAATCACCCCGTCAATTTGTATGCACTTAATTTAAAATGTAATGAGTCAAGTGAGATGAATGTGCATTTATGGGTGTGTGTGTAGATATTTCCAAATTGTCGGCCACTGACTGGCTGCTTCTCTCTGTTATTTAGATATTGTCCAAATCCTGTTTTTCCTGTTTCTTGTTTGACAGTAAGGAGCAGGTCAGCAGTAGCCGTCTGTCTCCTTAGTGTAAAGATCTGCTGCATCCTAAAGACTAAATAAAGCAGCTCAGCTAGGTTTAATTAGAATGACACTGCACTGTTGAAGTGTCACTTGACTCAAATTCAGATTAACTGCCATGCTGCTTAAGCATCTCTGCATTTCAGTGCTGGCACTGTAATGTGTATGAGGTAGATAGGAAGAGACACTACTGTGAAAAGTAAGCAATGTGTCTGCATCCTACAGCACAGCCATGCTGAACAGCCAGGGGTCTACTCTGGTGCCCTTAAACTGAAGCTTGCAAGTTTAATGAGACATTACACAGTTGTAGTAGTGCTCACTTCGCTGTGTGCCAATAATGATTGTACAGCTTGGTATCCTATGACTAATCAACGCACAGCTGGACTTCATTCATTTAAACTGCTATTAGATAACGGTCCCTTTTCCCTCTGGGGCCTATTGAACCTGATTTTCCTTGTTGTGTAGCATCGTTTAAAATGAGGCAGTCAGCCAGGACGGCACCATCAGCCACCAGAAGGGGGCAGCGCTGTTGCGGTAACGCAGTATGGATACAGGAGAAGTCACCTATTTGTCTTTATATTCATGGCCCTTGATCAGTATGAGGGTTTAAATGAGTGACAATTATAATATTACACAGCAAATTACAGAGTCATTGTTACAGTGTATTGTGAGTAGCCCTAATCTGTGTGTGTGTGTTCTCGAATTGTGTGTGTGGTCAAGAGGCAGCGATTGTCGTGCCTCCGCTGAGGCGCAGCAGGATCTGCTGGCAGTCCTGCAGAGACCGACGGTCTCCCACGCGCTCCAGGGTGCGCTTGGCTTCGGCCAGAAGACGGGCGCGGTGCCCGGGGGGAGTCAGCAGGGGCATGGGCAGGTGACGGCAGGCCAGCAGGATGGCATGAGCCCTCTCCCTCTCACCCAGGACACACTCACCTTCTGACAGTAGCAGCAGGCAGGAGAAAGAAGAAAAGTTCAGTTTGGTGTCTGCTTTCTGGTTTGTGTGTGTGTGTGTGTGTGTGTGTGAGTGAGCACAGGGGCATGTTGCCCTCTAGGACACATCAAGTCAGTGTTTCAAGTTCAGAGTGACCACAGGGAGGATGACTCTGAGCCAGCAGTCAGGCTGAGTTTCCACTCTGAAGGTGTATGTGTGGGTAAATAAGGATGTTTGTGATTTAAATCAGCATGTAAGTTTGAGCCTGACTCTCCTTACCAGCTGTGTAGGAGACGTGCGTCCTGCGACGCAGGTTGTGGTCCAGTAGCTGGTGCGTCCTGGTGGGACTGGCTCCAGCCATCAGCCTCACTGTGGTCTCATGAAGAAACACCTGCAGAAAAACAAACACATCAGTGCATCAGTGACAGAGTAATGCTGGAGCAGAGAAACACTGAGCTCTCACATCATTTCACTACACGTTTCCTACCTGGAATACACAGAAAAAATGTTCTGCCTGGAGGCTTCCATGCAAAGTGCCTCACAGCACCAAGACAGCCATTTCTCAGTCAGTGGTCTCACACCTCATAATCAGATGCAGTTCATGGGGTTCCTACATAACAAACGATCGCCGACCGCTGTGACAGCAGCAGTTGTTAACAGCCCTCTGGCTGCAGTAATGACTACTCCAGTAAATCTCACCAGTCTGACTGATGATATGTTAAAGGGTGGTGAGATTTCAGCAGCTGGTAAGAGCAGGAAAGAACTGGGTTTCCAAGGCTGATACAGTAAAGGTAGTGTTATTATGAAGAAGATTAACAGGTCCCAGCTGATTTACAAACCTATTATTAGTGAAGCACAGAGGAAAACATTTTAAGCCTTTACTGAGCCAGAAATACATTGAGGTAATTACTGCTTTTAGCGTGTAGCATGCTACAGCATCACATAGGTGGATTATTGCCTGCTTTTCAATCTTATATCATTATTCATTGATTATCGGGCTCCAAGATAAAATCTGATTTAACCCATCACTTTCTGCTCCAGCGACTTCTGAGCTTTTATAGGCTAAGTTACTAATCAAAGACTTCACAAACATGCATCCACTGGCTAGTCTCATCTAGTTGCCAGCCACAGAAAACACTGTCTTCTACATTTTCTGTTCCAACCAGAACATCCAATTCTGACCTGATCCAGTCACTGATCTACCTTGTGTTGTGCCCGTCTGTAGCACTGTGTGAGCTTTCTGAGTGCGCTGAGGTCCCTCTGGAACCCGGCCAACTGGGACCCAGAGGCTGGGCCAGGTTCTCCGTTACTACTGCCCCCCCGCTGCCATAAACCGGTCCTCAAGGTCAGCAGAAAGTCACAGACCAGGAGCTCCACGCCCTTAGGAGAGAGGAAAGGCAAGGATCAAGGAGCTGTTTGGTGCATTTACACATGAAATACCAACTTATCGTTTTGTGGTCAATTTACAACTTTAAGATCCATTTGAGGCTGAAGGTGCGACTCAAATCTGCCAGTACAGCCACATCACGCTAACAGCAGCCAACCACCATCATTACCAGTGCACCCATATAGGCCAAAAATCACAAAGTGCCCCCCCCAAAGCTACATGACATCGTTTACTGTGAAATGGTGGGGTGTGTAGTGGGTGTGTGCAGATCGGAGAGGCCTCTGTACTGCACTGCAGACACATTGCACTCGACTTCAGGATCATGCAATGCAACTACAATGCACTACAGCCACCTCCTGCCACCCACACTGTGCACACACACACAGCCCCACGTCAACCTGGCCTAACCTCAACTGAGCATGCAGTGTGTACCTGCAGAACCCTGACCGGACTGACTTCAGTGCTTCCTGATAGTCGGATATGAAATGTGCAGTATAAGGCAGGTTGTTTCATGTTGGTATGTGTTTGCAAAAGCGCAGACAAGATTACACAACAAACACTAACCACAAACCCAGAGCAGACGGTAAATGGACTTGTACTTTTACTTTGTGCTTTTCTACCAGTTAAACATACATAAAGTAAAAGACACATTGGAGAAGCTGGGAATTGAAGCACTAACCCTACAGTTAGGGGATGACGTGCTCTACCTCCTGAGCCATGGCCGCTCAACACCTTAAGGACGTATTAATGATAGTGTGTGTGATGGATTTCTTGCAGGCTACCTTGTTCAGCCAGTTCCCAGACTGGGTGAGCGGCACAGAGATGCTTGAGCACAGGTAACTGCTGGCTCTGTCGCAGTGGGACAGGCAGGCCACTGCCGCTTCTCCCTTCAGAGGGGACAGGCTCATCTGAACCGTCTTGCAAAGCAGCAGCACAGCCTTGGGCAGAGGATGGCTGGAACAGAGGGACAGCAGTGCAGTGAGAACGCTTTCTGTGGGTTTTCTAGTCACATTTCAACACACTGTACAAGTTTTACTTCACTTACTCCAGAGTGTGTAGAGCCTTCGGCATTCGCTCTGCCTCTGCCAACAGTGACCTGACTGCGACATCGTCACCCTGGAGCCAGTGCACGGCAGCCTTCAGGACTAAAGCCCACCAGCGACTCACCGGGTCTCTCACTGGGAAGAGGAAGAAGAGAGGGCAAGTAAGTGGAAAGACAAAATAACAAGGACAAACGAGCTCCAACAGCCTGGCTATAAAGCTTTAAGTGTCAAATGAGAGATAATGAGGTGGTTAAGACTCCCATCTCTTGTGTGTGATGATCGAATGCTTTGTGTGCAGTAAAGCTCAGTGTGAGAGAAACAACAATTGATTAAGACTGCAGCTAATTAACGTTACTTCAGCAGATCGCCATCGTGGTCATATCCACTGCAAGTCATCTGTTAGCACAAATCAATGACTGCCAGTGTTATCTGTGATAATCCAATAATACATTCATCTCAAAACCTAAATTGACTGTCAGCCTACGGCAAATGGAGCAAAGAAAATCCATTCGTGTTGACAGCAGTAACTCAGAAGACTATCTAATCCTCACTGGAAATAAGTTGGAATCTCTGCCCACACAAACATCCTGCAGGGTTGTTCTCCTCATGGGATTCATACCTGGAGTGGTGGTGTGATTGGGAGGAGTCCAGGGATGAGGAGGGGAAGGAGAGTCCTCTGTACAGCTGTTCAACAGCTGGAGGAACTCCAGGGCACTGGAAAACTCCCTGAGACAGCAGCAGGCCAGAAACAAAGGCAGAACACGATTATATTTCCGAAGTAAATCACGAACACACACACATCAGAGCATCATTGTTATGACCATCGCCGTACCCAGAGCTGTTCGTGTGTTTGCCTGCTTTGGTGTCGCTCTGCGGCTGGATGAGCGTGTGAACAGCTCTCTCCAGAAGTTTCCTGCAGAAACAGCGGTGCAGCTGGGCAATGGGGTCAGCTGGAGGAAGGTCATAAAGAAAGAGAGGAAGAGGGAAATCAGAGCACACAACATTCAATTTGAAATCATGTCATCTTTATTTATTACCAGGTAAATGGTTGATTTGAGAAGGATTGTTCCGTTTTGGATTTAAAACGAGAAAATAAATAAATAAATAAATAAAAACTACAGAGTAAAAGGCACAAAGACTGAAACCTCTCTATTCATGACAGACCTGGGTCTCTCTCAGAAGTATACACACTGTCGCCGCTCTCTGGCTTCACAGACCAGTCACAGCTCAGGAAGAACTGCCTGCCCAGAGGGGTGAAGAGCCAGCACAGGCAGTCAGGGATCGGCTTGGTCTTTGACTGGCTGGCCACACTCTCCGCACAACTCAACAGGTAACCCTGGGAAACAGACATGGAAGGAAAGATGCTAACAAATCAGAAAGAGTGTCATTATCTCCTCTGTGCGTTTTTATGTCATGGTGTGGAAGATAAACTGGGTGAGGACAGACAGAGGACGGAGCATGTCAGAGACGTACAGGCAGACAGGAGAGGTGGTGGCCCAGCACAGTGCGCAGGGCTGTTGCTGCAGTCACATAGATCTGGGTGAGCTGAGCGGGGGCCATCTTGCCTTGGGCGCTCTCGCTGAGGTTGACAGCACTCAGAGACAGAGACAAAGCCCAGAGGCTGCTACGCTGAGGCAGCTTTCCTACAGGGAAACAGAGAACAGAATCTCTTCATAATGTGCAGTCAGCAATTTAACTCCTGTTTTTTTTTCCTAGCACTGTATGGGAACTGAAGCATACTCCAGCGTTCATTAACTTCAAACCGTGAATCATATCAGTGCAGCCTGTGCACAGCACCAGCCCACTCACCTGTGAGCTGCAGCTGGCTCAGCCGGTGGTACACCAGCGCTGCATCCCTCGCACTGGTCCTGGCCTCCTCCCCCTCGTGCTTTCCTCCAACTTGGTGGACGAGCCAACCCAGAGGAGTTGGACGATGCAAGCAGTAGCGAATCAGATTCCAGGTCAGCGAGCAGACCAGGTCCAGATTGGTTGAGGGAAGAGCTCTAGTCAAGACGGACAGGCAGGTCTCTAAACTGGCCATGGCCGCTGTGTAATCACCCTGCAGGAGAGAGGAGACACAGTGAGGGGTTCAGTATGCAGTAAAGTCTGACAGGAAAGATGTGATGAAGGTCATGACTCAGTTCTAAGAACAATTTGAACAAATACTAAAAATAAACATAGGCAGGGAGCAGGGAGTCTGAAGTGAGACATCAAAACAGTGAGAGTCAAAGCAAAGCAGGTGAAGTGTTCCATTTCTCTGAGCACATCCACAACTGGCAGGAGAATTGGTGGTGTGATCATGTTTTCCTATATTTGGAAATACGCCCTCATTCTTTTTTAAGTTTCCTAAACAGGAGAAAGTACACAAACAGCACCCTAAATTCTTTCCTTGTTTGGTTCAGGCTTCTTGGTCTTTGTTTGCCACATAAAGAAGAGCCTTTTCAACACAGGCCCCTCATGCCAGGGCTGATGTGGACTCACTCTGTTCAGATGAAGGTCGGCCTGCTTGCGGTGCCTCCAGAAGGACACAGATTTCGGGGAGTGAAGGGGTGTGACAGGCTCCCACAGGTAGAGCACCCTGACACAGCCCCACACCGCTCCCATCCCGCTCAGCACCCAGACCATCACCCACGGCAACAAGCACCGCAGCCAGGATGCTGGAGGACAAGACATGAAACATAAGGAAAAGTCATAATGCATTTTAGAATGTTTACAAAACATGTTTCACAGATTCAGGCATGACAAATGTATGATCAATCCTGATAAACAGTGGGGTCAGCCCTGCTCACCAAAGTCCTGTGTGTGATTTGGGAGCCAGACAAGCGTTCTAGATGTCCCACGGCCTGCTGACAGGTTGGGGCTTCCTGAAGTCTCAGAGCCCAGCAAAGATGGCAGCGGGTTTAGAGACAGGCAGAAGAAGGTCAGGGCGCAGAGAAGCAGACGGGAGCGATCCATCACTCCCACCGAGGAGGGAGAATCTGGCTCGCTCTTCACCTGAGAGAGAGAAAGAAAACAGGTCCACACTGATAAGAAGGAAATTAAAACTGGCAAAAGTGGGGACCATCTTATTTTAAGAGGACAAAACAATCAGAAACCTTCCCAAAAGGACACACGTGAAAATGTTTCATATCATCCAAGAGTCTTTTTCTCATACAGATGTTGGGAAATGAAGGTTGTCTTATTATCAGGTTCATCTTATTTTGGGGCTAAAACTATAGAATGATATTTTCCAATCTCTGAGGAAACATTCAAACGCATGGTAGTATTAAACTAACAATCAACCTAGTACAGCCTGCTCTGGCAACACTTTATGTTCACACCATTTAAGCCAATATGACAGAAAAATGCAAAATAATTCAACTGAACTGTTTCTAAATGTAGATGTTATCAGTGAGTAGCAACCTGCAGTCTTGATGACAAACTGTAACGGCTGCACCTCCTGTTGCAGCTTCACAATAAAAGTCTTCCTGTTGTTCACTGGTTGAAAGCTTTTGCTATGAAATGATGGGTAACAGCAACGAGCAGCAATTCTCCTGTCTAAATTAACTACTTCTGCTGAACTAAAAACTAAGGTGCAAAAAATTAAAACAACTTCATTTTTCATTACACTTCAATATAGAAAATGGTGACAAAGTGCCATCGCCCTGTCACGTACATCAGTACAAAACCTGAGCTAACCACCATGTGTAACTAATCTGTTTGAAATAACTGTTCACAGTGGAAAACATCATGGCTGATAGTGGATAATAGCCCCAGCTGTGAGTGTGCAGATGTGTTCTGAGTTGAGCTAACAGAATGACCATGTACCATGAGCGTGACTGGGTCTTTGTGTGTGCTACCTGATCATTGTCCGTTAAGGGGCTGCCTGGCTCCGAGTCCACGCAGTAAGGAGAGAACTGGCGAGGAGAAACAGAGCCAGAGTCCGAGGCTGGAGGTGACATCATCACTAGTTCCTGTTTGAGCTCCATGTCTTCAGACAGTGCCAATGGCTCTGAGACAGGCAGAGACGCTTTCATTAAAATCTCAAGTTGCTGCAGATTATGCTTTGCATGTGTGTCCAATACTTACTGTTCTTCTGGTTTGCCATCTTTAGGGCCAGGTTCTCCTGACGCAGTTTGTGGTTGACCTGCTGCAGGTATTTGATGTAGTCAATCGCCTTCCTCAGCACTCCTGACTTGTGCATCTGGGAAGAGTGATATAAAGGAGGACATGTGAGGATCAAGCACTGAAACTGCCTATGGCATTAAGACAGTCTTACTATTTCACCATCTTACTTCTAAAACTCCCTAATTTCTTTTCTGCCCAGAGGGTTTAGTGAGGCTCCAAACAAACTCATACCAGAAGCTGCTTCTTCCCACTCTTAGCCCCTCCCATCACATCCTGTTTCCTGACACTACGACGTGGACTACAGATGCCTTATTGCTGGGTCTTCTGGGTTTGACCATGGGGCAACAAAACTCATGAATGCAATGCTTTTGCATTCTTTTCACCCACTGACTCTTAACTTAATTCAACAAAAAGGTAAAATCCTGACCATGCTAGGTGGCTAATGCTACCAAAACAAACAGGTTAGCTTTAGATGCTAACACATCCAGAAGGAAGAAGGCCACATCTGGATCCAGTCTGAGTCCTCTGGCTGCTTTTAACCCTCTCCATGTCAAACAGCCAAACCCATGTTAACCCTGGTTGTTGCTCTTTCTTTGTCCCACTGTCTCTGTGCTAAAGACGCCACCTCTTCACTCTGACAGCTGCTGGTTCAGACTTTTAGCTGCCCAGAGCTCCTCCATGGCTGTTTGACATGACTGCTGGCTTCTTCTAACCTTGGGCTGAAGGCACCAGGGGGTCATAGCTTGTCCCGCTGTCACTGGGTTTATCAGCCAATGTGTAAAATCTTAGGTAATGCAGCTTAAAAAAAAAATAATAAAAAATTTCACTAACCTTTGCATCGCTGCCCATGACAAGGTCTCTGAGCTCCACAATCTTGTCGTTGATGGAGGACCTGTACCTCTTCTCGATGACGTTGTGGGTCGTTCTCCTCTCGCCCTCCTTCACCACTCCTCCTGGCCCCACCCCTCCTGCTGTCACCTGGCCCTGCTCCATGCTTGGTCTGGCGCTGGTTGTGCAGTGGGAGGAGCCTGGCTGTAGCTGCTTGATCGGCAGCTTGTCTCCTCCTCCCATCATAACGGGGACAGTAGTCAGGATGTTGCTGCTCATCAGCGTCTGGGGACAGAGATTAGTACTATGTGTTAGTTCTCCTGTGAAGTACTGATGGTAAAGGTGGCTGTGGGACTGCAGAGTGTACCGTTTTTACACCAAAGTATATTGGTGTGAAACCTTTTATGCTCGTTTCATACCGGGACTTGCAGAGCTGTGTTCTGGATGGGCGTGGTCAAGGTGGTGATCCCTGTGGGGCTCTGCATGGTTGACAGCACCTGGGTGCCATCTGGTTTGAGTGTTGTGAGCAGCAGTGAATCTGTTTTCAGAATCTGAGGCTGCTGGACCAGAAGCTGATGGAAAGACGTCCAGAGGTCAGCATGAGACTTATGTGTAAAACAGTGTTTGCACAGTGTCTCAGTCTTTGTATTCTTTGACTCTGTATTTCACTGAGATTGATTACAAACTGCACTAAGTATGCTCAGGTTAGTTGGCCCCTGTTGAGCTCCCAAAGACTCCTCTACTGGCACTGGCATTTATTTACAAAGCCACTCTTGATTTTTAATCTCAGGAGGTTTTCCCAGATAAATAATGGTTTAAAAAACATCCCAACTGGTGGCACTGCTGCTGGGTTTAGCCACTTATTGCAAATAGGGTAAGATTTGTAGTTTGTTGAAATATTAATCTTGTATTACCAGAGTCCACTAACCGTCACTGCCTTGCTTTCTTTCTGACAGCAAACACTACATTTACTCATCCAGCCCTCCCAACGACAGAGAGGTTACTCACAGGTACCTGCTGCACCTGTTGCTGCATAGTGTGGACTGTGGTGGGCGCTGTGGAGAGAGTCTGGATGGTCTGACCAGCTGGGGTCAGAACTTGCTGGTGCTGAAAGGTCATTGGTTGGAGCTGTGGTGATGTCACAATGCTCTGCACCTGTGGTTGGAGCACTGGGAGTGGGAGACAAGATGATTTGTCATCTTCAAAATACACTGTGCTCTTGACACAGATCTTAAAAAACATTATTATTGCTGCGATAACATGTAGACATTTAAAAAAAGAAGCAGGACAATGTATAATAAATGTAGTAATCAATAATATCAACCAGTTCCAACTAAATAAATTCAGGGATTCAACAAAACACAATCCTATTCTTCTCTCCAGTCACCTTGGAAGCTAGGAGCATGGCTCTGGTGGTAGATGACAGGGCTCTGCATGAAATGTGACTGCCCACAGCTGGAGGCGATCATCACAGTTTGGCCCGCCTGGGTCTGGATGGGTAGGGGTGTCTGACTGTGGGTCTGAACCAGGGGGCGGACTGGGAAGCTCTGGGTCTGCATGGGGACCCCCTGGGTGTGCATCTGCATTTAAATAAAGGAATAAACTCAGTTTCATCTCAAAGCACATTTTCTGTCTGAGATACAACACAATGCAACACAAGACAGTTCATCTCTTTTTGATGTGCGATAGGAGAAAGTTACTGTGCTCAGGACAATAAACTACATCTATCAGACTGGCTACAGTTTTGCTGAGACGAGCGTTTGTGATTGTAGGGATGCTGAGTTGGATATTACAATTTACAGGCTGTCAGTTCTTCTGGTGTCAGCAGAAGGTTTTTTAGTACAGATGGTACAGTACCAGAAAATGAATCCACACTGTCTCCACACGGCAGGTACATTGAAAACAGCCGGGGACTCATACCTACAGCATTGTACGCCCCTTTTAGACGCACACAGAGATCCTCAACTTTAACAATGTTCAACACACTACACAACATAATATAAACATGTAGAAAAGTGGTGTTTCATACTAGGAGACTGTCACAGTGCTGATACCTGGATGGTGGGCTGGGCTGTCTGCTGGGGCTGTGGCTGGATGGGCTGGACCACCTGTGGTCGTGGCTGAAGGAGCGGAGGGTTGCGGGTCACCTGCTGCTGCGCTGAGGCGGCGCTGGTGGAGGAGGGTATCTGTGCGGGAGTGAGGGGAGGGGTGAGGGGTAAAGACTGAGGAGAGAGCGTCTGGGAGGCGGCAAGGCCAATGTTGGAGCTCTGGTAGGCAACAGAGGTTGGTGTCTGGGGAGTTTGAGGGGTCTGAGGAGTTTGAACGGCAGGACGTGGGATGGTGCTGGTACTGCCACTCTGCATAGAGCCTGCTGAGGCCATCTGGTCCTCGAACAAGTCTGGGAAGTCCCCCACCTGGTTGCTGACAAACTGCAGCATCTCTGAGATGGAGAAAACAGAGTGGACATTACAAGTGTGGATCCGGTTGGGAAATTAAAACAGGACAGCTCTGCCTCTGATTCAGTGATAAGAAACATGGAAACAGATTGAATACAACTAATGGTTAAGTACCAAAAAAAGACAATTTAACCCCAAACAAATTAACAAGCATTTGGGATTTACGGCATCGCTCTGCCACAGTGCCGTGGGACTACAGGCAGACTGTGCATCATTTGGCGAGGCTGTAAAACACCATACTGCAAACGCTGAGGGAATTTCATGGCCTGGCCTTGAGGTAGTGCACGTATGAATAAAAACAGCCCTGGTCATAAACCAGTGGACAGTTCATGTGCAAAGCAAAATGCCTTCAGACAGACAGCCTTGAACAAGTCTGCAATCTCACCGATGTCCCTGAAAGACAATGGCTGCAGGGTAAAAGAGCATGTAGATAAGGAGTCAGGCTGCTCTGACAAACCTGATTAACAGATGGATGGACATGAGTGTGCACTGTGCTCCTGTACAGTTTCATTAGAGCTGTTGAATCGTTATTAGGCTTTACAGACCGTTGGACTTATAACATTTAGTCTAATCTTAGTCTAATATAAATAGGAGGGATTGCTGCACCAATTAAGTACAAACATTTTCATCAGCTTATTTTGATAATCAATAATCATGATAATCACTTTATTTTGGCTAATATGTCTCCAGTTCAGAACCGAGGCAGCCGTCTGCAGCGCCAACCCACACACACCGACGGCAGCGCTGCCCCGGGGTCAGTGAAATGTCAGTAAGCGGAGGCTGCAACCTTGAACTTGCTCTACGACAGAGCAGGTCCAGAGACTTCAGTCCACAGGCTGCAGACACGTTTATCGACTCTTTCAGAGGAACACAAAATCACTACGCCCCGCAGATGAACCTCAGCATTAAGAAGCCAACATGCTGGAAATGATACAGACGAAGAGGTCCTGTCTAAGTCGAATGAGGATGCAGTGGATGAGTCTGACTTTCATTACAGGTAGAAGATAATTCCAGTCATATGAAAAAACACAACACAATATGAAAACAACTCAACACTATATAAATTTATAGTGCACTGACACATGCTTTAAAAAACTGAGCATGAAAAATCAATTCTGTCATTCATTGCCTTATGTTATCACTCGCTGGTTTAGTGAATTGGCTCCTTTGCTATGTTTCTAACACCGTTTAGAATTTCAGAATATATTTCATTTTTATTGTGACTGCAATATTGTATTTCCCATAAACACAACACCAAAAGCACTATGATGCCAGCAACAGCAGACACACAACACAACACCTCCGGTCACCTCTGGCTGTCCTTATTGTCTACATTTCCACACTGTGTATAAAGCACAACAGGCACTGTCACCGACAATTTAACAACTGTTAACTATGGTTTGATCGAGGCCCATAAACCTCTTCCTGGCTAACCAAGGATGCTAGTTCCTGGGTTGTAAGTTACAACTATGTGCTAATAGTCTGTTGACCCTCCAGGGGTGTATAACATTCAGCGAACTGGAGGTGCATGCCTAAACAGCTGTGCTACTTGCTAAATCAGTGGGAACCACTAGAACCGTGAGGTCAAATCTTACATGCAGGAGCTTTTACCAGCCTGTCCTTTATAAGTCACATGTACATGCACATGCACACATTATGTAGGCAGACTCACTGGACCATGAACTTGTACACCTCCATGGGGGACAGACGGGTCACAGCAAACAAGACAAAGCAGCCCTGCACCACTAGAGGTTCAGACAAGCCGACACAAATCCATCACAGGGGGACAGTTTCCATGGCTGCTCGGAGAAGAAAAGAGCTTATAATAACTGGTGCTGCAGTTGCTGAGGGAATAATTGGGAGAGGGAGAATTTTCTGGATGAACACAGGTTTAATTGCATGAACCCTTACAGGGCCTCTAAGATCTTTCACACAAAGAAATGCCCACAGCTCGTGTGAAGAACAAAGGTTATATATCTTTCGAGATCAACACTAAACCAGCTGCTGCAAAAAGAGACAGTTAAAAGCTGACACCGATAAGCTGGCATCCAATTTAAGGTCTGAAAGAGGCTGTGATGTTTTAAATTGTTAGGGAGCTAGTGAGGTTGCCATTAGGCTGCTCTAATGGGGAGCCTGTAATCATCAGTTAGTTGTGGGCCAAATGGAGACTAAGTGAAGACTAAACTGAGTGCAGGCTGTCTGTGCTTCAGCCTGCATGTGAATTGATCAGTCAACCCTGACTTGTCATTTCTCTGTCTCACACACACACTGCACATTTCTCTCTTCTGACACAATGATTCCCTGGAATTACATGCAGGTGTATTTTCTGCTCATTCTGAGTAGGAACATTAACCCCAGGCAGCACAGACAGGTGCAGTTCTATACATCTGTGTGCAGTATTAATGTTGGCTATTACTGCCTGTCACATACTGCAGCCTTGTTAAGTACAGGACCGCTGTCTATCACTGAGTTCTATAAATCCACTAGGCACCGCAGCCTGTAGATAAAAAGCATTCTGTCGTAGGGCTCAACTTTATCCCACAGCATCTGACACCACATGCCCTCATTGGTCCATCAGTCCAGTCTGGTGACTGAGCATTCAGTAAAATTCCACCCTAATGGAAATCTAGTGACTCTGCGCTGGTCAGCGTTACACCAAAGGCCTCCTTATTTCACTGTGTGATAAATAGTGAGACTTGTTTTGATGAGAGGGAGACTGGGTCAGAGATGTCTGTTCACTGAGCACATCCTGGATCTTTACAGAGAGGTTTTCCACAAGGTTTGATCAGTAGTTCTGCAGAGGAAGCTATGAAAGGCTGCCAAAGAAAGAGGCAAGGTTTTCTTCATTTAAGTCTCCAAACAAACAGAACTAACACATTAAAGTCATAGGATCTAAACAACTGTTTATTATTGGTTCATTTTATTGCCTTTGGCCTCGCAGTAATAACAGTCAAGCCTGATGTACAAGTTACACCGTCGCCTCACTTCACTGCTCCCACACACAAGTTCCTGATGCATGACACCTCTTACTGACACCCAGCTCTGATTCATGGAACATAACGCCACACACTCACATTTCCATTGAAGACTGGATCTTTACTGAGACACACAACATTGAAATAACTACAGAAAGCATGAACAAATTTTGCCTAAATGCGATGGATGGACCAAATATGACATGATTACAAAGTATCATCTGCAAAAAGCAAGATGAAGTGCATATTTGTAATGTGAGAATATTGAAGTGAATGGATTTAACAGACTTGGCAAACTGGTTAAAAACCTACCATTTTAACTGTTGCTAAAACAACAGCTCTGTTGTGAATACTATGAATTCTAAACTCCGTGTCTGTAGCTTTGGCATAAATCACGGTCAGCCCCCCTGGAAGGATCAAGTGAAAATGGGACCCTGGGCACAGACATGTAAAATGTTGTTCAGTGTGTCTTTATAGTTGTTCTATGTCCCCTTATGTTAGTTCTGTGTCACTTTGTGTCTCTTTAACCTCATTTACTGTCTCGGGTGTCTTTGGGATGGTTTGCTAGTCTTCCTGTTGATTTTGAGTTTATTTGTGGTCGTTTTGTATCTATTTGTAATTTTTTGTCTGAGCTCTATGGCATTCAGAAAACAAATATTAACAGAGACTCTGGGCCAGGCCCCCAGACCTCTGGGCCACTGGGCCTGTGCCTGCTAAGCCTGTTTGATAATCCATCCATAGCCAGACCCGTTCAGCTCCATCTGCTCAGGAGGATGAGCATCTGGCAGAGCTGTAAAGCCTGAAAACCCTGGAGGAGAACAAACCGCGTTACCTCGCCTCCGCAATTTTTCGCTCGTGGCTGTGGGCGTGTCCACCTTCAGCATCCCCTGTGTAAATAACCAACCTGTACTTTCTCCAACAATTGGGGTGATTTTGTACAATAACACTTCGTTTTCGCTTTTACCTGTTATCATGTAGAGTAGATGGCACTTAATAAGACTCCGGGTGGATTTTATACAAATCCTTTTCTAATCGTTTGACCCCTCCTCCTTGGTGGCTTCGCGGTGCAGTGCCGCATCGCCTGGAATTCCACCCGCGATTCGTTCGAGGCCCATTTAGAATGAGTGGGGTCGAACTTCGCGTCGCATCGCGCCGCGCTCATTCCGTTCACCATGAGCGGAAACAGGCCAACACTACCTTAGGAAACAACGATGCTTACACGGTTTGCAATAACACAATTACTCACCGTCTATGTCTCCCAGGGTGAATTCATCTCCTAATTCCGCTAAACTCTGGTCCATGTTCTCCATGTACTCTCCGCTGTCCATCCTGTCTGTCAGCAGCTCGCTTCTCTGGCTATCACCGGAGGGTCGCAGACTATCTTGACCCGGGGCGACCAGCAAGGCCTACAACACACTGTGATGATCCGGAAGAATATTACGTTCCGGATAAACCGTAAAACAACACCGATGCCTCAAGAGAGGCAGAGTTGTACGTCGATAAACTAATTCACACCAATTTATTCTTAAGACGACTCCATCTTCGTTTTACGTCATTCACAAACAGACTCTGTGAGCCAAAGCGGCATCTGATTGGCCCACAACAAGCCGTTGTTGTCATAAGACCAGTCATCATTGTCCAATGACAAGGTCGTATCTGCCGTGGTCCGATAGTACGTCAACCATCAGAAGCTCCCGTGTCATTTGACAAACCGCGCCCTCTAGCTTCATAAACAGAAGTGGACCCCTCACAAAAATGAAATCAATAATGTTTATTCATCTGATATGAATTATGCTTTTCACATCTTGGAGATCAACTGCTTTGTGTTCAATAAATACTTAATGCCCAATAACATACAATTCCTACTGTGCATTTAAATACTTTATGAAATTCACCACTTTTATTAATATAAATATCATACCTAAAACCTATCAGCTACCTTATGTAAACGTGGCAGTAGCCTAGCAATAAAATGCTCCATAAAAAGTTATGCATACTTGTACTTATACAGAAAGTGCTTGTTTTAATAAACATAACAATCCATACAATGTGTATTTAATCTGGCCATCAAACATGAAAAACTGTGGATAAAAAAGTCTCACAAAATATACTAAAGCACTTAAAACTGTATTTGAGAAAAGGTGCTTATAGCAATTTTTTTAATAAACTGACGTTAAATTAGTGGTAATAACAAACAACAGAGGACACAAACGATGCCAAAACTCATGGAAGGAAAGCGTTTTTATTGTTGACTTAACTACAACGCACTAGTGAACTGCTGACACAGTTCTAGATGTTGAAATAGTTGGTACTGGTTGTTCAAATGGTTTACATTTTACAGGATGTGAAACTGTGCAATGCAAACACCCGCTGTCAGTCAGCCATGAGTACAAACCCAGAATTTATAATGATTTCTAATATATCTGTCCTTTAGTTCATTTTCAGCACCTTGTAACACAACATGTAAAGCTTTATGAAATTTGTCATTTATCCAAATGTGCTGAAATGTCACAGCAGCTGTTTCATTAAAAATGTAAATGTCTCATTCTCTTTTCAATGAGTGTAAAGAATTTTGGTCTGGTTCCAAATCACAACCTTGTAACACTTAATCTAGATCAAATTTACTGGGGGAAAAAAGAATGAAAGGAAGGTACACTGCGTACCTAGTGTCCTTTAAATCAGGTCACTGAACTCATTCACCAGCCTCAAACTGTTTCAAATGACATTTTCAATTTCACTTTCTACTTTCTTTTATCTATAAAAATGTGTGATTTATTGTTCATATATTTTATATGACGCTGCTTTGATGTGGCAATTTCCATGGTAATATTTCACAGAGGGAAGCTACAGTGGAGTGGAGGTTTTCATCAGGGGGGCAGGAAAAATATGACTATGATCTCATTCACTGGACTGACTCCAGTCTGAGTCTCTAGTTATTTGTTCCAGTGGATCTCGTAGGACTCCTTCTCTGAGAAACTGGTTTCTGTTGCTGTGCCACATCTGACTTTCTCCTTCACCACCTTCATTACCAGACCGCCAGCCAGGGCGATGCCTGCTGCAGCCTTCCCTATCTCAGCCACTGCAGACAGAATGCGCGTGGTTGCCGACGCGGTGCCCCAGGGATCCGACACGGCCCTGTTGGTCACCGACGCCACACCCGGCCCTGTGAATCCAAAATGAATGAAAGGAAGGTACACTGCGTACCTAGTGTCCTTTAAATCAGGTCACTGAACTCATTCACCAGCCTCAAACTGTTTCAAATGACATTTTCAATTTCACTTTCTACTTTCTTTTATCTATAAAAATGTGTGATTTATTGTTCATATATTTTATATGACGCTGCTTTGATGTGGCAATTTCCATGGTAATATTTCACAGAGGGAAGCTACAGTGGAGTGGAGGTTTTCATCAGGGGGGCAGGAAAAATATGACTATGATCTCATTCACTGGACTGACTCCAGTCTGAGTCTCTAGTTATTTGTTCCAGTGGATCTCGTAGGACTCCTTCTCTGAGAAACTGGTTTCTGTTGCTGTGCCACATCTGACTTTCTCCTTCACCACCTTCATTACCAGACCGCCAGCCAGGGCGATGCCTGCTGCAGCCTTCCCTATCTCAGCCACTGCAGACAGAATGCGCGTGGTTGCCGACGCGGTGCCCCAGGGATCCGACACGGCCCTGTTGGTCACCGACGCCACACCCGGCCCTGTGAATCCACATACAGCACCAGGAGACCCAGCACGCA